TAAATTTGTTAAGACTTGCCTTGTGACCTAACATGTGATCTCTCATGAAGAATGTTTTATGTGCACTTGAGAATAATATATATCCTGCTGCTGTTGAGTGGGGTGTTTTGTATATATTTGTTGGATCAATTTGGCCTATATTATTATCCACTGTTTCCTCATTGATTTTCTGTCTAGATATTCTAGACATTATTGAAAATGAGTATTGAAATCTCCTATTCTTATTGAATTGTTATTTCTCCCTTCTGCTTAATCAATGTTTGCTATATATTTATATATGCTTATATACATAAGCAAACATTGATTAAGCAGAGGGAAGAAATAGCAATTCAATAAAAGTAGATTATAAATACATAGTGGGTATTGAAATCTCCTACTATTATTTATAGATCTATAGATATAAATCTAGATATCTATATAGATATACTCTGATATTAGGAGTATATTGATTTATAATTATTATATCTTTCTTGGTAATTAATCCTTTTATAATTACATAATGTCTTTCATTATCTCTCGTGACATTTTTTACTTAAACTCTATTTTGTTTGACATGTATAGCTACTCATACCTGGCTCTCTTTTGGTTACCATTTGCATGAAATACCTTACCATACCATCTCTTCACTTTCAGCCTATGAGTATCTTCAACTTCACAGTGAATTTCTTGTAGACAGCATGTTCTTGGATCTTTTTTTAAAAGACCCATTCAGCTACTTTGTATTTTGTCTTTGTGTTTTTTTGTTTTTTGTTTTTCTGTGTTTCCTTTCTTTTTTTTTTTTTTTTTTTTTTTTTTTTTGTTTGTTTGTTGAGACAAAGTCTCACCCTGTCACCCAGGCTAGAGTATAATGGTGTGATCTTGGCTCACTGCAACCTCTGCCTCCTAGGTTCAAATGATTCTCCTGACTCAGCCTCCCAAGTAGCTGGGATTACAGGTGCCTGCCACCATGCCCAGATAATTTTTGTATTTTTAGTAGAGATGGGGTTTCACCATGTTGGCCAGGCTGTTCTCAAACTCCTGACCCTGTGATCCACCCAACTTGGCCTTCCAAGCTACTCTGAATTTTGACTGAGAAAATTAATCCATTTACATTTAAAGTAATTATTGATAGGGAAGGATTTACTGTTGCCATTTTGTTAATTTTTTTCTGTTGTGTAGTTCTTTTATCTCATTTCCTCTCTTGCTTTATTCCTTTGGGTTTCCTTGATTTTTAAAATTGATATACTTTAATTCCTTTTTTTTTCTTTTATCTATCGCCTATAGGTATATTGTTAAGGTTACTATAGGGTTTCTATAAATCATCTTATAGTTATAACAGTCTACTTTAAGCCAATAACAACGACACTTCAATAGCATAGAGACTACATTTTTTTCTTCTCACACATCCTTACTTTATGTTATTGATTTTACAATTTACATCTTTTTATAATATGTAGTAACATATTTTTATAGTTACAGTTTTTAAAATACATTTATCTTTTAACTTTTAAACTAGAATTTAAAATGGCCTATCCACTACTATTAGAGTATTATAGTTTTCTGTATTTCCATATATTTACCTTTACCAGTAAGTTTTATACTTTCGTAAGCTTTTGTATGGCTGTTCAGCATCCTTTCATTTCAACCTGAAAAACTCCCTTGAGCATTTCTTGTAAGGAATGTGTAGTGGCAGTGAACTTTCTCAGCTTTTGGTTTTTTTTTTTTTTTTTTTTGAAAAGTCTTTACCTGTCCTTTGTTTTTGAAGAACAGTTTTGCTGGAAATGCTATTATTGGTTGACTTTTTTCTTTTGTTTAATTTCAGCACATTGATTCCACTCACTTTTGGACTGTGAGATGTTTGCTGCAAAATCCATTAGTTCTATTAACGAGATTTTCTTGTACATGAGGAGTCCCTTTCCTCTTGCTGTTCTTAAAATTTACTCCTTGTCTTTGACATTTGACAATTTGCTTATAATGTGTCTCCATGTTGATTACTTTGGATTATTCTTATTCAGGATTCACTGGGCTTTCCAAATCTGCAGGCCCACTTCCTTCCCCAGATTTGGGACATTTTCAGACATTGTTTTTTTTTTTTTTTTTTTTTGAGACGGAGTCTCGCTCTGTCGCCCAGGCTGGAGTGCAGTGGCGCAATCTCGGCTCACTGCAAGCTCCGCCTCCCAGGTTCACGCCATTCTCCGGCCTCAGCCTCCGAGTAGCTGGGACTACAGGCGCCCACCACCACGCCCGGCTAATTTTTTGTATTTTTAGTAGAGACGGGGTTTCACCATGTTAGCCAGGATGATCTCGATTTCCTGACCTCATGATCCACCCGTCTCGGCCTCCCAAAGTGCTGGGATTACAGGCTTGAGCCACCGCGCCCGGCCTAGACATTGTTTTTGAATAAGTTTTCTGCTCGCCTCTCTCCCCCTCTTTCTCTCTCTCTCAACTTGACTGGTCTGCTTAACATTGTTCTGCAAGTCCCTTAAATTTTCTTCACTCTTTTTAAACTCTCCTCTGAGCAGATAATTTTCTATGTCCTGTTTTCAAGTTCATTAATTCTTTCTTATGCTTTATCTAGTTGGCTGTTCAACTGCTCCACTAAATTTTGTTATTCAGTTATTATATCCTTCAGCTCCAAAATTTCTGTTTAGCACTTCTTTATATTTCATATCTTTTTGGTGAAATTCTAACTTTGGTCATGCATTGTTCTCCTGACTACATTAGCTGTTTTTTAAAAATACATATATGTGTTCTTTCTCAGGTTAAAGATGCTTTTTGTACTCTCAGTTGTTACCATAAAAACGGGTTCAATTTTATCAAATGGTTTTTCACCATCTATTGAGATAATCATGTGGATTTTTCTTTCACTTATTTTGTTAATGTGATAAATTAGGTTAATATTTTTAATTCATTGATTATTGAATGTTAAGCCAACCTTGTATTTTTTGGATGGACCTCACTTAGTCATGAGGTATTATAGTTTCCACATATTAATAGATTCAATTTGTTAATCTTACGTTTAAGAATTTGCATCTGTTTTCATAAGAGATATAACCCTGTAACTTTCCCTTCTTTTGATATTCTTTCCAGGCTTTCATGTTAGGATTATGTTGGTCTCATAAAACAAGAAGTATTACCTCTTTATCTGGTCTCTGAAAAAGTTTTTTTAAGACTGATATATTTTCTTCTTTAAAAGTTTTGGAGAATTCATCAGTGAGGCCATCTCTTCCTGAAGTCTTTACGGGAAAGTTTTTACTTGAGGATTTAATTTCTTTAATATATATAAATTATTTAGATTTTTCAATTATTTCTTGTGTCAGTTTTAGTAAGTGTATTTTTCAAGATTTTAAAAAGCTCATCTTAGGTGTTAAGTTTATTGCCATAGAGTTGTGCAAAATATGATTCATTACACTTCTAATTTCTTTAGGGAGTATGGCAATAAAACCTTTTCTTCCCTAATAGTAACTATTGGTTTCTTTCTTTTATTTTTGATAAGTCTTTCCAGTTATTAATAAAATTTTATTGAAATGTTCAAGGATGTAATTTGTATTAGGGTTTTCAAAAGAAACAGAACCAATAGAGGATATACATAAAAAGATATTTGTTATAAGAAATTGCTCACAAAATTATATAGGCTGAGTAATCCCAAGATCTTCAGTCAGCAAGCTGAAGACCCAGAAGAGCTGCTGGTATAGTTTCTGTCTAAGTCTAAAGGCTTGAAAAGCAGAAGATCTAATGATGTAAGTTCCAGTCTGACTCCAAGTCCAAATTTGAAGGCAAAAGACTGACGTCACAGCTCAAAGGCAGTCAGAGAGAATGAAGCTCCCTTACACAGCATTTTTATTCTATTTGGACCTTCAAAAAATTGGATAAGGCCAACCCACATTAGGGAGGGTAATCTGCGTTAATCAGTCTACCAATTCAAGTGTTAACCTCATAAAGAAACACCCTAACAGACACACTCAGAAAAATGGTTAACCAAATAATGGGTACCTCATGGTCCATTGAAGTTAACACAAAAAATTAATGATTACACAATTTTTGTCTTTGTAAATATTCTTACCTGCATGTTTGTTTTCTACTTGATTTTTGCTTTTATATTTATATATACTTCTTTTGGCCTTCTTGGTATTTAATTTGCAGTTCTTTTCTATTCTCTTGAGATATAAGTTTTGATGGTAGATTCTCAACCATTTTTTTCTAATATATACATTTAAAGCTAATAGTATACTCTAATTACCTATGTCTTACAAGTTTTGATATGTCCTATTTTCATGACCGGTCAGTTCAAAATACGTTATAATTTCAATTGGTCTTTCCTATTTGGTGTAATGAGTTATCTTGAAAAGTACTGATTAAAAATTTGAAATTTGAAATTTCCAAATATTTTGATTATTTTTCTATGTTTCTGCTATTTATTTGTGGCTTTACTTCCAATCTAGTAGGAGAACATACATTGTATGCTTTCAATCATTTGACATTTCTTAAGACTTTTTCATGACTCAGAATGTGCTCTTTTTGTTCAATGTTCCATGACCATGTGGAAAGTGTATATTCTTTCTTATATCAAGTAGGTCAAATTGGTTAATGATGTTAGGTGCTTTATAAAGAAAAGAGGTTTATTTGGCTCATAATTCTTCAGGCTGTACAAGAAGTATGGTATCAGCATTTGCTTCTGATGAGAGCCTCAAGCTACTTACACTCATGGCAGAAGGTGAAGGGGAGCTGGTATGTGCAGAGATCACATGGTGAGAGAGGAAACAAAAGAGGAAGGAGAGGAAGGTGCTAGGCTCTTTTTAACAACCAGCTATCATGGGAACTACTAGAGCAAGAACTCAGTCATTAGCCATTCATGAGGGATTCACCCTCATGACTCAAACACCTTCCATCAAGCCTCATCTACACCATTGGGGATCAAAATTCAACATGAGGTTGAGGGGAAAATATCCACATTATAATAATATGTTAAAAGTTTTATAATTTCTGGGACATCTTCAAATACTTTTCTTTCTCCTTAACAGGTCAATGACATCTAGTTTGAATAGAAGACTCCTGAATTATGACTCTATTTCTTTCTGTAATTCATAGATATTATTCTAGTCTTCTGCATTCCAGTGTTGTAGGTAAGTGGCTGATGATATTCCAATTCATTTTCTTGGGCAGAAAACATTCTTTTTGAATAATATTCTTATTTTGTTTGAAAATTTATAACATATCTTTATACTTAGAGTTCACTATTTTTATAAGTATCTTCAATACTGCTTGAATACTGCATTCAATCTTTCTTCACTTAGGAAAAATATCTTGTTAAATAGTTGCTTGTTTCGCTCTGTCACATACCCTTCCGAAATGCCAATTTTTTTTAATATTAGACGTTCTGAAGCTATTCTCTTCTGTCCTTTCCCTCATGATTTCCAAATCTTCGTATTTTTGCTCTGTGCTTTTAAATCTTTTATCCAATTAACCTTCCAACCCATTAACTGGCATCTGAACAGTGGCCATCTTTTTCCCCATATAATTTATTCATTTGCAGATGCTCTTTATCTAGGTGAGGAAGTTACCTTCTGTTTGCTGAATGTATTATTATAAGTGAGTACTAAACTTTGTTAATTTTTTTCATCTATTGACGTGATTGTGTGGGTTTTCTCTTTTAGTCTTTTAATATTGGAAAATACATTCATCTTTGACCATTAAAGCAATCTGCATTCCTGAGAATAAGCACATTTAATAGTAATATAGTATCCTTTTTCTTGCTTGCTGGATTTATTTACAAATGTATTTTAAAGGTTTTTGCATCTGTGTTCATAGAGATATGGGTCTGTAGTTTTCTTTTGTTACAATTTCTGACCAACTTTTGGTATCAAGATAATGCTGGCCTCTTAAAATAAGTTGGGAAGTATTTCCTTTTCTATTTTATGGAAGAGTTCATATAGCAGTGGAATTATTTCTTCCTGAAGTATTTGATCAAATTAGCTAGTGAAACTACATCTACTTGGATTGGGGGTGGGAGTTAATTCAATTATCGGATTAATGCAATTCTCTGAATAGAATAAGGATATAAAAATATCCAGGTTTCCATTTTGTTGACTAATGGTGGCCTAAAGTTTATTACAATATCCCTTATTATCCTTTTAATGTCTGTAGAGTCTGTAGTAATTTCCTATCTTCATTTCCGATATTGGTTATTTGCATCTTTTCTCTTTCCTACACCATCTGTCTAGCTAGTGTTTATCAATTTTGCTGATCTTCTCAAAGACCTAGTTATTGATTTCTTTTATTTTCTGTTCTGTTCATTTTTTCCAACCTCTTCTCTCTCTCTGCTATAGTTTGAAATGTTTCTATTGCCATATCTTCCAGATCACTGAGATTTTTATACAGAATTTACTCCATTAATTCCATGCAGTCAATTTTTCATTGTAAACATTGTATTTTTCACTTCTAGAAACACTATTTGTCATTTTTGTATCTTCTATTTCTCTCCTCATTATATTAATAGCTCCCTTTACATTCTATAGCTGTTTCTTTGACTGATATTCCCATTATCTCTAGCATTTATAAGTCTGTTTCTATTGGCTGATTTTTCTCCTTATAATGAGTACATTTTCCTGCCTTATCATATCTAGTAATTTTATTGGATTCTGAATATTGTGGAATTTATACCGTTAAATACTGGATTATGTTTTCTTCCTTTAAAGAGTGGTGAACTTTGTTGGGAAATTCACTTAAATTAAGTGCATACTTGATCCTTCAGAGGATTGTTTTTAAACTTTCTTAGGATGAATTTAGAATTGTCTTTATTCTGGAGCTAGATTTGTACTAATACTAAGGCAAGACTCTCCTAGTATTTCCACTAAATTATCTGGGTTTTTAACAAGCACACTCTGGTCTGACTAGTCAGAACTCAAATATCTTCACAATCTATGTAAGCTTTCAGAATTGTCATGGAGTTTTACCTCAAAAATGCAACAGATTCAAATAAACTCCTCTGAAAATGTCTGGAGCTCTTTTCTGCATAGTTCTTTCTCCTCTGGAACTCGGGCCCAAATGTTTAGCTGCCTCAAACTCCCCAAATTCTGATTTTTGTCTCCTCAATTCATTGAAATTATTATGTTCTGCTTGGAAGACCATACATGCACTATGATCTGGAAAATGCCTGCAGGCAACAAATCAACTGTATTAATAGATTGTAGGGCTCACCTCTTTTGTGTGCCTTTTCCTGGGATCACTATAACCTTCACCGCCTGTTGCCCACTCTCATAAAACTGTTTTTCCGAAAATTCCGTTGTTCAATTTTCTGTTTTACTGTGGGAGGGTAAGTTAGGCCCAGTTACTACATTATTGCTGGCAGTATAAAGTCTATCCATTGATTTATTTAGTTATGAATTTATGTTTTTGGCTCATGTACTGCAGTTAGGTCACATTTTGTTATGTGGCTCTATTTTAATTTCTTCAGGTATGATCATTGTTTTTCTGTTTATGTTGTCATCTGTCTATTTCGGTAGTTCTAATTCAATTTTAATTTCTTCAGGTGTGATTACTGTTTTCCTGTTTATGTTATCTGCCTATTTCAGTAGTTGTAATTCACTGGGCATGTGGTCTATTTATCACATAACTTTTCTCAGGCTTTTGGACCATCTAAGATGATGATGATGATGATGATGATGTTGATGATTTTGGATGCTTTGTGTTTTTGTTTTTGACTGCTCGCTGGGACTCACGGTTGTTGGATTTCTTTAAGAGGCAGCATTCCCTAAAATGGCTAAGAGCTCAGCAGTGTCCCTTCTGGTCCTCTGATGGATGATCGACTTTGAGGAAGCCTCCCTTTTCCTCATAGTCTCCCAAGCTCAGGGCTGGAATGACTTAATTACTTTTTTTCCTTTGGAAGTCAGGAAGACCAGTAATATTCATGACAGTCAATGTTACCTCTAACCCTCATCCATAATATTTACAGATCAAGATACTTTCTATAATTGTTCACTTTATAATCCTTATGTCCATGCTCCCATGCAGATCTCCAAGTGTTTCTTGAACTCATGGGGAAAACCCCCTCACTAGTATTCTCTGCTGGTGCTTCTACACAACTGAAGACCTCACTGAACCTGGGAGCCTATAGACCTCAGTAGAGGCTGAAGAAGATACAGCTGAATCAAAATTGGACAAGGAAGAAAGATGACAATGTGTCTACTGCCATCAGGCAATGTTAATTTTAACTTTTAAGATGTTTCTTGTGGGCCTTCCCCTACAAGTCACTCCCATAGTACCGTTCTCTAGGAGATAAAAGCTATGTTCATAAAATAATCCATGTTGTTGGTTAATAATTTATTCTTCCAATGAAAGTTGTTTGCACTTCAATCACAACCTTTTATAAACACTAACTTAATCTAAAGTCATGTATCTGTTTGTAGGACTTTTAAATATCATGACAAGCTAGGGAGGAAGACATTTTCTGTGTGAATCCCATTATAATCATCCTAGAAATGGAATTGCTGCAACATAGGATGTGAACACATTCAGCTTTCTTAGATATTACTAGGAATTTTACCAATAGCAGTGCGTAAAACTGTTGTTACTCCTCACCCTCTGCAATGCTTGAAGGCATAAGATATTTAAAGTTCTATAAGTCTGATATGTATAAAATATTAAATTATTGTGACATTAATTTTTATTATTTGCCATTTGGATAACTTCTTTTGTGAATTGACTATTCATATTATTTATTTCACACTAGTTTTTTTTTTTTTTCTTTTGAGACAGTCTCACTCTGTCCCTAGGCTGGAGTGCAGTGGTGCAATCTCGGCTCACTGCAAGCTCCGCCTCCCAGGTTCAAGTGAGTCTCCTGCTTCAGCCTCCCAAGAAGCTGTGACTACAGGTGCCTGCCACCACGCCCAGCTAATTTTTGTATTTTTAGTAGAAATGGGGTTTCATCATGTTAGCCAGGATGGTCTCGATCTCTTGACCACGTGATCTGCTCACCTTGGCCTCCCAAAGTGCTGGGATTACAGGCATGAGCCACCATGCCTGGCCTATTTCACACTAGATTTTATCTTTACTTACTGGTAGGTGGCCTTCGAATAGTCTAGGAATGAATCTTGTGCTGAAAGATTGTAAATACTTTCTTCCAAATCTGTGACTTGCCTTTCAGATTACAGTTTTAATGTTAGAATTGTCAAATTTATCAGTATTTCTGTTAGAGGTGGTACTTTTAGTTCTTGTATTCTTATTTTAAAAGTCTTTTTCTTTTTCTACCCTGAAATTATCCTATGTGTTCTTGTAAAACATTTTTAGTATTGTTCTCCATATTTAAGATATTTCCATCTGGAATTTATTTTTGTATGGTGTGAGATATGGATATAACCTAGAAATATAATTATGTTTTCCTTAATATAAGCCAAATTTTATTTGGTTATTTATTTTATAAGCCCTGTTTATTACACCTTTTCCTCACTGATTCCCCACTGGCCAGTAAGGTCACTACTGTTTTACACCAAATTCCACAATATGAGTCTATTTCTTGCCTCTCTCGTCTATTTGTCTATCTCTGAATCAAGCCCAGGGATCAATGTTTTGTTGTTATGGGGAACTGGAATTTTTGAGAAGCTCACTGGTTACTGTCCTCTAACCTACTGGCAGAAGATTGTTGGAAATACCTAACCATCAGAGGCAAGGTAGATGTAATTAATATCATGTCATCAAGACCAGAGAGGTACTTAGGTGCTTGACATAAATCATAATGTCTATACAGTTGAGACATAAGAACAGCTAAGTTCTAAATTGTTTGGTGTAATAAAAAAAGAAATTAAGACCCAGTGAGCAGAAAACTGATGTCAGGTACCATAATGGAAAATCACCATATTCATCCAGCTTCTAGATCTACATTTGTCAACACTGTTTGAATGGGAGATAAGATCTCTTTGAAGAATTACTCTGCAATGCAACTAGAGGAATATGTAATAATTATGTTTCTTGTTTGCTCCAAAGAAACCCTAAGCTATTTTGCCAGGGTAAAGGCCACAGAGGAACAAGTAATACCTAGCCTTTCCAAGGCAATGCAAAATACAATCTTAGTCCTCCAATTCTAAAGAGGGCTTATAGAGGCCAAGTAATCAATGCAGTTATAGCCCAGGATAATCTGATAGTGGGTTCATAGGTCCTTGAACTCACTCTGCTTCTTTCCTCAGGTTATAAATGTGTAACTGATGCAGATATATATATATATATCTCAGGTCACATTGGCTGGAATGGGAGATATAGTAGAAAGTTCCTGAAATTTGTGTCTCCTGGCCAAGGTAAATAATCCAAAGTAGGTAAATCAAAAGAAATACCATATCACCATATCTCACAAAGAATTGCAGGGATGTCTACTACCATCAAAGAATTGAAGGATGTAGTGGTGATGCATCATTTCTCTGTCAATTCATCTAGGCCTGCACAAATATCAGATGAACAATGGCAGATGAGGGTACTATAAACATAATGGTAGCTCCAATCATAGTAACTCTATGAAATATAATCCTTTTACTGGAGCAGATCAATGCAGGTTCTGGAATTTAATAAGCATTTATTAATTTAACAAAATTTTCTTCTCCGTTCTCTGAGTATGGAGAATTAGAAATAGTACTTTTTCTTAGCAATAAAGCAATTTACCTTCACTGTTCTGCCTTATAGCTATTTGACTCTCCTCCCCTCTATTATGTAACTTAATTTGACACTAGATGATAGAAAACTCTGTGCACATGTATATTTATATGTATATGTGTGTGGTTTTTTGCTTTGAAATTGCGAAAGGTAACGTGTTTGAAAATGATGATTTTCTACTTCATTTCCTAAGTTTTCATGTTTTTATTCACCGGTAGACTAATTGTATCTCAAGCTTTGTAATAAACTGGTCAAATCTTTCATTTTTTTCTCATTCTGCAACATTAAACACATAGAACTCAGAAGTGAATTTTCCTTTGACATGCAATAATCTTCAGACATTTTGAATGCAACAAAAACTTTTCCGTGTTTCCATTTCATAAGGTAAGGGTATTGGCTAAGGGTATTGTAAAACTCTCCAGCCATTTGAAGCTCTCCTGCACAATGAAATACATGAAATGCTGTAGGTTTAGAGATTGCTGGTTGATTTCAACATACAATTGAAATGATCATAACTGTCTTATTCAAACTTTGATATTTCTGCTACTACATTTTGCATTTTTTTTCAAATCTTCATGCTGAAAAATAATGAAAACCTTTTCACAAACATTCTTAAACTTCTCTATGCATAATTTAATAATAAAAACCTGTTTGGTCCTGCAGAACTCAGACCTCCTTTAAATCTCCTAATATACCATTTTAATTTCCTGCATGGATTTTGTTAACCTGTCAGGAGTTGTAAAACAGATAACAGAGAACTTTTGAGCATTAATAATCTATTTTTGCAGATGTGCTCCTCTCTACCTCATTAGCAGACCTGATGCCATACTACTTTCTGTGGACTGGCTGAAAAATCTCACCTCGAAGAATTAGACATCAATACTAACACTGTCTTAGAAAAAAAAAATGTGCATATGGTCTCCCAAAGATTCTCATCTGGTTATTTCCCATTTTCACATTTACAAATACTAATTGATCTACCTAGGTGACACCATCAGATCAGAGAAAATTTGAGTGGTAGATAATGGAAATAAATATTTAAAGACACTGGACCAAGACATATGAGCTAAATACATAAAGGTCTTCTTTAAGATGATGGCTAGGAAGGTACCAAGAGCTGATTTTGCCTAATTGATAATTTTTCTTAAGCCCACTAATACTTAGTAATAACTATTAGCATAGTAACAAATCCCTCAGAGAAGATGGAAATATTAGACCCGGGAAATCAGAGTGATGTAATGATATCAGCAGAAACTTTTTCATTAGTTCTGACTTCAGACTTCAATTGATCACTTATTAGCCGTGTGATCTAGGGCAAATTATTGCACTTCACTTTTATCATCAATAAACTGTAAATAGTAACACGTACTGGAGACAATTGTTGTGAAAATTAAGTAATGAAATACATCTAGCACATCATTAAGACTCTGTGAATGTTAGCTTTTTAAAAATATTCATCTACTTTAATAGAAAAAAAAAACCTCAAAAATTAGAAAGGCAAAATGATTTCTTACATTTCCTCCAGTTTGACGTTTCTGATGATATGTTTCCAAATGAAGGCAGAAGAATCAGGGAAACTTGCTTAGCTCTTATTTAGAAGCTCAGTTGCCACCAAACATCACGTCTGCAGCATGGCCTTCTCACATATTGTCAGTTTCCACTTATACAAACCAATTTGACCATGCAGCATATTCACTATACCCCTGGGACAAGAACAAGTATTCTAGTTAAGAAGATAGACTTTCCTGTGTTGGAATCACAGTCCCTAAAGTCAAACTTAACTCCCAGGATATCTCCCTTTCCAAAATGCCTGAGAACACAGACTAATCAAGTCCATTTATCTCCTACCTTAAGGGAGATCCTGCTAACAGCTTTGTAAATAGTGCTTTTTACAAATCTTAAAAGTCAAGATTAACAATAAAAGTAAATGCATACCCATGGGAAATGCTAATGGTAAAATGATGAAATTATCTCTAGCCCTCCTCCTGATGAAAAGTTTTCATGGTTCTCTTTGGATTTGTTTTGCTAAAACATATTCTGTTTTTCTTGTATTGTTTTTATGTTTTTGTTTTGATAAAAGCATATTCTGTTTTTCTTGTATTGTTTCTATGTTTTTGTATTTGAAGCTAGGCAGTGAAGAAAGTAAAGACAGCATAGCAGTTAGGTAGTTTATGAGATTACTTGATGTTTCACTGGATGCCATCTTAGTAATACTAGGATGTATACTTAAAGAAGTAAAATTATATCTACTTGCAGATAACATGATTCTCTGTGTTAAAAAAAAAAGGTTCCACAAAAAAAGTTATTAAAACTAATAAAAAATTCAGTAAAGTTGCAGGAAGCAAAATCAGCATACAAAATCCAGTAGCTTTTTTTTTTTTTTTTTTTGAGATGGAGCCTGGCTCTGTCACCCAGGCTGGAGTGCAGTGGCACGATCTCGGGTTACTGCAACATCCACCTCCCAGGCTGAAACAATTCTCCTGCCTCAGCCTCCCAAGTAGCTGGGATCACAGGCACCCGCTACCACGCCCAGATAATTTTTTGTATTTTTAGTAGAGACAGTGTATTGTCATGTTTGCCAGGCTGGTCTTGAACTCCTGGCCTCGCCTCGGTCTCCCAAAGTGCTGGGATTACAGGCATTAACCACCACACCCAGCCCAGTA